GCCCAAGAACAACGTACAGCCAGATAACTGTTGTAGCATTGATCTCTCTTGACCTGGTCAGGATCTGTAAAGGTTATTTGTCTGCCTTGAAACAGTGCTTCTATGGACCAGTTCAAGGACCTTCAATTTAAGCAGTAAATTTGCGAGTTTGTCCCTGGATCTAGGAATGCCAATGCTGATCTAGAAATGCCAATGCTGATCTAGAATACCTGTCCTGTCACAGGCTCCAGCATGGGGAAGGCAGACAGGTGCTAAACACGACAGGTCTTTATATCAGACAGATACATGAGGGGCACAAAGCGAAGCTGGCCATACCCTTCTACCTCATTAGCACCTCTCAGTGCTAGAGGTCCTGGGCCTTGTGTCTTCACTGTCAGTATACACTCCTACAATCCTTAGAAAGATTACACAGCTGCTTTATGGACCTGCATCAGTACAAATGAGATGACAGGATCACAAGGCATGCATGAGTGATGGTCTTTCTTGCTTGGAACAGAGGAGACAGGTCTGTTAGGACTCGAGCTGAGCACTGACATCTGAGGAATGACCACCAAGTGTCCTACCTCCAGCAGCAGGCTGCTGTAAGTCAAACCATGGACAAACTATGACTGCATACTTACATACACAACCCAATTTTCAAGACCTGTCAAGCTTTTCTGAACATCTACCTAAATTAGAGCAGACAGCTTTCAAGAATGCATCCCCAGAAAAACAAGCCTGCACCACTTAGTTCATATGGATAAAAGACCACCAAAATATATTCAGGCTGTCCATGAGAAGCCAGCATTTCCTGTGTAATAGGAGAGGGCTTTGCACCTTACTGATGTCAGCAGGTTAATTTACAGATGCCCACCTGCTAAGAGTTTTGGAAACTGCAAAAGCTTGTCTCTTGAAATGCCCCATCCCTAAACTCCACTCAGGAGGAGGAAGCCTGCCTTCCTGCTTGTGCCCCCGCTGTATTGAAGACCTGTCATTGACTGTTATGTTACTAGCAGCTAGCCATTTCACTTCTAGGATGACACAGAGAGAAAAGAGCAAGAACGCGGGTACATAGCAGGGCCAGTCAATTGTTAGGAAGTGAGCTCAGCCCCTCCCATGAGGTGCTGCGTTAGCAGAGGGAGTGAATCTTTCATCACAAAGCTGCTGGTGAGGTTACCCACTAGGTTTCGTCATAGAATTTGAGTGTCTGAAGGTGCTTAGCAGAGGCAGCTCAGTCTGAATGAATATTCCCTGTGATGATGTCCATCTTCAGCAAAACTGCCCCAGAGGGCAAGGACTGAGCTCTATTTTTCTCTTGAATGGTTTCTTTCTAGGACAAGTACAGGGAGGAGGCTGCTCGCACTGATACTTCAATTAAAGGCCTGTAAAAACGTCTAATGGTCTTCACGGTGACACCAACTGACAGGCATCCATCTCGCTCTTTTAAGGGTTTGTCCCATATGCTAATTTAATGACTGTCCCACACTTGCAACCTTGAGACATTACCCAGGTGCTTTGGAATTTTAATTCTAAACTAAATACCCTCACCGAAACAAGATAAATGTAATGGCTAAATAGCTGCTATGAGAAAACAGAGATAAACGGATTACGGTGCAACACAGACAAAAAGCACTCAAAAGCAGATCAGAATCTTTCTTACTAGGAAGGCTTTGGCTTCACCACATTTGCTTTTCTCCCCTTTTAGAATGAAATTCTGAATTTTTGAACAAAAATATAAACACAAACATTCAACAGACAGCTGAGTCTGCATTTGAGTCCGCATTCAGGTTGCAGGAGCTGTGATACCTCCCTTGAATTTTTCTGTACTCTCACAAAAGATGCAACATCATTGTACCTTCTAAATGATAAATATTCGGATAAATATACAGTCACACATACTCCAAAGTCATTGAAGTCTGTGAGACTTTTGTGATCATCATCATGATGATGAGGGTTTACCCAATTGACCATTACATTCCCCAAACTGTACCTCTAGATTATGTTGGAGAAGGCACCCATCAGGTCTTTGCAAAAACAGGCTCAGTGCTGCCATGAAGTACTGGGAGGGGGATGCCCTGAGTGGGAACTGGACGGGACACCGCTTGCCAGTACCTTGCTGGCAGTGATTGGAGAGGAAGAAAAATCCCTGCTTGACTCAAACCCATATACACATTGCACAGCAGAATGCCATCTTATTTAAACATGCATCTTATTATTTAAAAATACAAACATCTTATTATTTAAAAATACAAACATATTTTTAAAACAAAATCTTTGACAGCACTGATCCCAAAGCATGACATTTCCATAGCTATTTTCTGAGCAAAAGTGCACCTTGAAGGTGAACTACCCCACATAATAGACAGCAGCTTAGACAAGCAAATCAAGTGATGTAGCTAGGGTCAGCCTCTCATCTTCACAGCCTCAGTGCAGGTATACCAACAGCAGGCTCCTCTTCGGGGCTACTCTTCAACATCATACTGTTTGAACCAGACACAAAGGCATGCTTATTCTGTGAAGGCATCCAGACAGAACAACTGCAACATTTTCCAAAGGCAAAATCATAGAGTGTAGTGAAAGGGAAATTGTATTGAATTTTGCATTACTAACAAGGGATTTATGAGCATGCAGGCTATGTTTGTTCAATCAGAGCTGAAAAGAAAAACAGAATGATATGAAACATCCCTCTAATCCATGATCCCAGTGAACAGGATGGCCCCGGCTATTGTCTCAGTACATGTGGCTTGGGGTTCTTAATCCTTTAAATTATTGGCATGGTGCACTTGTTCTGTGACAGCTCTTTCAGACCTTTTCCCATCTCTATTGTTTTGTTTTCTGCTTGAGTAAATGGTAGAGCAAAAGTGAGACACATTTGTTTCTGCTGTCAGGATGAATGGGCCTGGATCATCATCACACTGCTGTTTCTGTCGACTTTGTATCTTGGCTAAGGCACACGGGCTTCCATCAAAAGAGGAGTACTCTCCCATTTAGTCTTGTATGAAAAGTGCAGGGAGGAAATGATGATGTGAACTACAAAGCTGCAGAGTGTGAGGACCCAAATATAAAAGGCAAATTAAAAGGCAGAATCCACCTCATCTATATCATAGACCTCCATCCACATCTGTGGTGAGCCAAGGTAAGGTGACAATCTTGCCTCCATTTTTACAAATGGAGAAACTGAGGCAGAGTGGCAATATGACCGTGGCCAGCCAACAAACCAGTGGCAGAGCAGAGCAGTGATCCCAGTCTTTCTTAATGCTGATCTCACCTTGTATCCACTACGCAGCACTGCCCTGGTTTTACATCTGAATCATTTCAAATTATTAAATCGGGATTACAGTGATTTATACCAATTTTTCACAGACTAACGAGGGGAGCTGCTCTCTGGAAAGGCTCACCTATGAGGTGATCTCAAACAACACAAGGATTTTGTGTCACAGTCTTCAACCCTGGTGGTCTGCAGCACTGGATATGGTAAATGCTGCAGACTTCCAGCTGATATGAGAAGAGTAAAGATACCATTGTCTTCTAGGAATGCTTATAAAAAAAGATTTGCACTTGTTCTATTAGCAGCCCTTATTTGTCCTTGAAAGACTCAGAATTACTTTAAAACCATTTAAGAGTCTCCAGAGAGTTCTGCTACCATTATTCTTCAAAATATAAATGGAATCACAGTAAAGAAATATGGTTCTTGTTGGTATCGATAGGAAAAAGGGAAGAAAGCCACATTCTGTGTGTGCTTACTCCAGAGCCTCACTGGAGAGAGAGGACAAAGATAACCTTGGCATCTGTTGTTATATTCTGATCCCAGGAGGAATGAGGGCTCTCAGTGCTGGTTTAACACTTCTCTTGCTGGGAACTAGGTGAATGGAACAAGCAGGCTCTGCCAACTGAGACGGTTTCTTCTGAACAGAGGGATATTTGGACTTTTCCTGCACTGGCATCCACCATCACCGCCTACTCCTCTCTCTGCCTGGTAGACAGAGTGATACGGAGGAGGATATACAGACTTATGTGTTCAGAGACCTTGCTCTGTTTCTAGCTTTGCCACCACTTCTGTGTACAGCCTTGTACAAAACACTTCTCCCCCCTGTGGCATTGTCCCTTCATTTCAAGCAAGGGCTGCCATGCATACCAGTTTCCACAGAGATGTTCCCTGTCTCTAACGCAGAAATTCAAGAAAGTTTGTATTCAGCTGAGTTGATTGCAGACCATATGTGCAAGAAATCCATGCTTCCTCAAAGGCAATGTCTTGCTGTGCAGTTGTGACAGGGTGTGTGGGCGCATGTTTCTGCCTGGCATAATTAATCATTAAACCACTTCAACAAATGATTCTTTTCTGGCAGGCTGTGCAGGGTCATTTGTATATATGAATATATATACACATGTACACACACAAAATACAAAGCCATCTTTGTTAGTTTAACACAGCTCATTATTTTAACAGGTAATGTTGTATTCCCTGATAAGATATAGATAAAGCTTAGAATAAGGTTTTCCATAAAAATGGTAATCACTTATGAACCTGAAGTACTTTCCATAAATGCATTATAATGGTTACTTCAGCTTGTTGTGAAGAATAGTTCTGACAACCGACCAGAATGTTTGCGAGCAAATAATAATAAATAGCATTAAAAGAGCACAAAGAGAGCCCAAGTGCATTTCAGGATTTGGTTTGAGGAAATCTAAACATATTTTTCTTTAACTGATATGTTCTCATCTCTGTTCAAAATCTATAGGGAAATCCAGTCCTCAAGAATGATAAGATCTAAACTAGGGAACAACCACATTCACGTTAGAAGACTTTTCCCCCTCCCTCTCTAAAGGTAGCAACATAATTTTTCTAGATAGAAACTAAAGCTTGGCAATACATCAAGTGTGTCAGATCTCAAAAGTCAATATTGAGGAAACTGCAAAACAATCAATAAGACCGTGCAATGTCCATGACTACCTGTAAAAATACAGTCGGATCAGCTGTGTTTCCTGTGATCTCCCTTTCCAAGATTTCATATTATTCCTACCTTAAAAGAACAGGAATCGTCTGTGACTCAGGACAATTTCTTCCCTTCCACTCAAGGAAGAATGGAAGGCCTCTTCTGTCCCTTCTTGCTCCATCCACCCTGAGAAAGAGAGTGAATAAATAAATAAATAAATAAAAATGGTATGAGAAGCTGAGCTGTGTTGTTTAGGGCACATCTGAAAAGTGAAATTGCTGAAAGAACATAGGTTTAGAGACAGATTTAGTTGTTGGCATGGACAAATTGATGAGCAAAAGTACAGGTGATGATAGATTTTATCCTTTATTCAGAACCATTTAAGGCTGTTTGCTTTGGATAAAATACAAATCCAGATTCTGCAGCCTAATTTTTCATTATAAATACAACTTAAACTGAACAGATCTGGAAAAGATCTGTTATTTCCTTTAGGATTTCTGCATCTTTGCATTTCTTTACACCTGTTCTTAACGCAAATGTAAGAACAGAAACCACCCAAGAGATGTGCTGAATCTAAATGTCTTTGGAAATGAATATGGCGAGAGAGCCCAAGCTTGTGATATTTTAGACCAAGGTCCATTCCCAGAGCCCCAACCTGTTGATTCTCACTCAGCAGCACTGACTGCCAGGCTTACTTACTCCTCACTACTGCCACTTGAAAACTCAAGTCTTAAATGCAGTTTGAGAGAGTAGTAAAGTAGTCTCTGCTAGGAGTTAATTTGTTTTCTCACTGTATTTCTGTCAGCAATGAGGAAGTCTTTCTCCATTCACAGAAAACCTAAAACATCTACAGTGTGAAGGAACATTATACAGACTGGAAAACCCAAAATAAACCTAAGGTTAATAAATAAATAAATAAATAAATAAATTAGGAAAAACAAACAAACAAACAAAACAAACAAACAAACAAAAAGATTCCTTCATCTTTCCTTAATCATGGAAATTTCAGCTTGCATATAACATTAGATCTAAGTTCAGATTGATCTTGCATAAAGAACCTTAATAAATAATGGTAAACTTATATCTCAGAATGTGAAGTAATAATAATCATCATCATCATAATCCTGCTTTCCTTTAAAGGCTCTAAAGGCATTTTGGGGTCATCAGTGAAGTAATTTTCACAGCCCAGCTATTAGAGAGACAGGAAATTTCTTTTCCATCAAAGAATGAAGTAAAACGGCGTGAGTGCTCCCTCTCACCTCCTTACAACTTAGGCTAAAAACAGTCACTACCTGCAAAGCCTCACTCAAAAGCCCAGCTCAAAACATGCTCGGGGAGACTTGTTTCCAGCTTCAGAGCCCTTCTCCACTCCTAAGCTCCCAAAATAGTCCTTTTCCCACTTGGAGAGCCTCTTATCCTAATGAGTGGACATTTAGCATTAAACCTGCACAATGCCAGGGCCAGGGTAAAAGAGTAACTCCAGCTCCTTGTCCTTCGACAAACCTCCCCAGCACTGGGCTGCTAACTCCTGCTGAGCCCCAGCCCGTCATGGGGAGCCCGCTTCCAGCACCCGGTTCAGTGCCAGGCCTTTGCATCCCTCACAGCTGATTTAAGTGTAACGCCTTGTTGACTCATCCATTTTCTCTTCTAATTCCTAAATCTATCTGTTATATACATCCTAAAAAGCATCTCTTCCAAGTAGTTGCCATTCCTCTGAGGTAAATTAAGTGTTATTCACAAGCCTCAGGCATGGGCCCAGCAGCTGACTGACCGAGTAGCTTGAGCTGGGATTCCAGTACTGGAGTCCTAGGGGAGACCGTGGTACATGAGGTATACTTCATGCATACAGAGCCCACATCCTGCTCTGCGCCCCCTTTACAGGGCAGTTAATTCCAGCTGAGGGGCAAAAAGGAAAACTGGGGGCAGCAATGTTTTAGGTTCTCACAAGCGGTCAAGCAAAACTCTGAGTCCTCACATTTGTGTTCTGCTACACCATTTATGTCTGTCTCCATCTCAGGCTTAAAACTGTGAGACATGCACTCTGTATACAGAATCCCTAATGCTCTGAAATACTTAGCTAATTTCACGTCATTGTGCTAGCATTTGTTTGAAATAAACATATACAAATTATGGAGAATTACTTAAAGACATACCCTGAGTCACCGGGCTTTCACTGAATAAACCTCTCCACTCTGGGAGTGTCAGTGCTTTATACTGTACACACAAAGGATCAAAGAGCCACATTTTTATGACATGCATCTTATAAGCATATAGAAATACTTCTGCTATTTAATTTGGGATACCCTTAATGACCAAGCTGGGAGTCACCTTTCCTCTGTAGCTTTCAAGCAGTTTCAGACAGAAAGCAAAGCTCATTATTTCTGAGACTCAGAAAATTAAATGGCTGGCACAGTCTAAAATCAAGCCAGAGACCTGGGACAGAAACCCTGCTGTTCTGAGTCCCAGTCTAAGGTCCTGTGCACAAACCCTTCTTCAGTGGACACTGCCTGCAAGGCACGATCCTTTCTGTTAACTCAAATTGAGACAGCTTTTATATTCCAGAATAGAAATATGCTCTTTCATACCTGTGAATTACCCTCAAAATTTCCCTCATTATCTGCAAGCCATTAGTATAATCTCAGTTTTATTTCACAGACCCAGCACTTCCATTAGTTGCGAGCCTATCTGTATTAAGGCTTTTGTCCGCAAGCTGTTATCAAGACAAACCTTATCTATGATAAATAAAACTGTATTTTTTTTTTAAAGCAGGTAACATAACGTAGCAGAAGGAGGGAAATATAGAGCTTCCACCTAAGGATTATGGATATGAAACCACACTGGGTTAAACAGTGACAGATATTGTTACTACTGGAGTATTTCAGTGGTGTGTTTGTATTATTGCCTTTGTGCTCAGACTGTTGCAAGACCATTCCTAATGAACAAGCAGCCTCCTTATTCAGCTGGCCCCTTGCTTGACTGACTCCGATGGGACAGACAAAGGCAAACAGACCAGGAACCTTTTAGCACATGTACTCCAGAAGTGACTGTATGATAACAACATTGGGGACTGCTGGGCAAAGCCTTGGGGTGCTGATTTAGATGCTGGACTGCAATGATGAATCTCAAGTGCCAAGGTAGTCTGATTGCCACTATTGCCCAGAAGCTTGGGAACAGATTTTTGTCTTCTGCATATTAACTAAGTGAATATATGCAAATGCAACAAATATTAAAACTATCAGTCATATGGCTTTACTTAATAAATATATTCAGATATGGCATCAGGACCACTCATGGCATCCATACTGGCTGTGGCAACCATTTTAAGAACATAGCCACATGTCAGTTTATAGCACTGTGTCCAGAGAGAGTACCATTGTTTTTTTCTTTATTTATTTCTTTTTATTTATGAGAGCTTTATTGTGATTGCTATAAGGACACAGCTACTAGCAATTTTGATAGCCAGGCACAGCCACAATCTAAGGTATGGAGAAATACAATCCTGCAAGATACATTCTTATGCAAAAACCTATGCAAGTATGTACGTACATATGTATATTCTCATGCCCAAGGCACACAATGCATTATGTAAAAATCATTATCCTTTGTGAACATTGTCTTCTGGTGATGCTTGAAGCTACACAGATTAAAGAAATTGCTCTGCCTTCTACTGAACATTTAATTTGCCTGAATGTTGGCTGTTATGATAAACAGATTGTAATAAATGTGGTCTTGGAAAATTTAATCCATTTCTCTGTTATTTCATTGCAGCTAAAGTCTGTAAAAGGTGCTCAGTGGGTAAGGAAAATTAACTGCATATAATAGAGAAAGTCTATTACCAGCTTACTAGTGCTTCAAAACAATATAAAAATTACACATCCCTTCGTGAGTTGGGTGCATTCATGGAGTCATCCTATGCCTTCACTGACCAGGTAAAAATGGTCTTTGTCAGGAGGACAAAAGTGCAATAGAGACTACTGCAGTAGAATCAGAAACAGTTCACACCGTATGTGGTTTGCAGAAAATATCAGATGTTAACATAATTTGAAAGCACTTTTCACGTAAATAGAAGTTGCTGGACTAGATGGTAATTGTCTTCTGTCAATGACACAAACCCTGCTGCATCAGGTGTTAGGGGATTAGACTTCAAAGATTTTCAGGAAAAAATGTGATGGACAAAAGATCGCCTTGGAAAGAAGAATGGTGATCTGATGGCTACTCTAGAGATCATCTTTCAATCTCAAGGTACAACTCCTGCCACTGATGCCAGCATTTTTGATGGAGCAATATTTGTGAACATGTTGAAACCTGATGCTAGCAACATGCTTAATGACTATGCTATGAAATGTTTTCTGTCATAACTTTGAGTCGCAGCAGCAGGATTGTAGGCTAAGCTGTGCTGCCAAAAGTCTCAAAACTCAGACTAGAAGTAGAAAAGGAGACATCCAGAGGTTTTCCAAACCTCTGGCATAAAGCTAGCCATACTTTTATCAACAGTGAATTTAAAAAAAAAAAAAAAGGCTGTAGAAAGCAAAGGTATAATTACTGCAGGTGATCAAGCTGTGGGGTACAAACTTACATGTTTTAAGACCTGCCTTTCCTTCTAACAGCGTGAGGAAGCAGACACCAGAGTGACACTGCGTATGTCTAGCTGCACTGGAGCTCTCCTGCATAGCTGGGGCAGAGAAGGCAGCCTGCACAACAGTGTCCATACAAACAGGCCAGGTTCCTGAGGTGTAGAAAGGTCTTGGGATGTTCAGTCAAGACGTTTCTTTTACCTGGACCAAGAAAGTCAAAGGCCCCAACAAGCGTGCTATGGCAAAACAGACTGCAGCACAGCTGCCTTTGCTTGGAGAAGGAAAACGAACACATCAGAGACATGGGAGGCAGAACAGGAATGAACTGTGCTTTCAGATCACTGTGTTGGGTTTGTCTTCAACAAAATCAACAGATGATGCAATTCAGTCCTTGGCAGAGACTTCATGACATTGCTGAACGCATCCCATCAGTGCTAATAACGCCTCAAAGCAGGGCAGTGCTCTGGAACTGCTCGCACTGGGCAAAGCTGCTCTGGCGCAACACAGCACACAAGCTACGTGCTGAACAGGTCCATGGTGGCTTTATGCACATCACCCCTGCACCTGAGTTACCTTCATCTCAGAATATGGATGGATTGGGACCAAACTGAG